CCATAGAGGCAACTGCAGAATATCTAGTAGGTAAAAGACATACTTTAACCCTGCAGTTAAGGTCTGTGCTTTTATTTAGTCATCCTTTACCATGAAGACAACTTCCACAAAGGGCAATTGCTTTTGTAATCCTATCATCTTGTCCTGAGCAAGGACAAGGGAGGTGACAGCTACAGAAAAAGGATGAAAAAGAAGAGAGAGTAGTTAGCAAGGAGAAACATGGGTGGGCAAAAGAGATGATAACACAGCAAAAGCCAACAGAACAAAAAACTGCTGGAAAGATGGTGTGATAGTGACAGTTGGGATGAGATGTGATGGGGGGTTCCATTGTGGGCAATACTTGGTTAAAAAGAAGCCTTGGGCAAAGCTGCAGCCTCCAGAGACAGGGTGAGAAGTGGAGGCTCTACTAGATTGTCCAGATGCATTTTGTCACCTGAAAGCTGTTCCTGCACCAGGCACTGTCGAGGCACTGTCAAGGAGCTGCCCTGCCATGGCTATGTCAGTTTGGCTGACAAGGAGCAGCCTCCAGTCTGCTTGGGAGCTGCTACTCGCACAGCACCACCTCACACCACCAAGCTGATGTTGCAGGAACAGTTGACCCCACATCTCAAAAGCCATAAGGAAGTCAAATGTGGAAGCTGAGAAGAAGAGTGCTAATACACTGAATGTGTTCACAGAAAGTCAAGTGACTGTGGCTTGATGTTCCAGCTGGAGATCCTTGGCCCCTGCTTTCCTGCAGCGATGGGTGTATTTGGGCACCACCATCACAAGCTGAAAGCTAGGAGACCTAGAAGGACCAAACAGATGCAGGCAGTCTTGTTCCCTCCAGTCGCTGCTTTATATAGAGATATTCAGAGATATATTACTGTATAAGCTCAGCAGGACCAAAGGAAATAGCTGTTGAAAAAGGCCATACCCATTACAAGCAGAGTGACACTCAATCCGCTCATTGAACCCATCCAAATACACTGGAGGAGGTTACTGGTGCCTCTGGTATTTGCTCAGCTTTGTAACTGCCTACTGCTGTCCTTCGCTGCCCCTTTCCAACACTCCAACATCACCCAAGATAATGACATTTTGATCATGGCAAGACGTGTACAACTACAACAACTCAGGCACACAGAGACCAAACAGCCCAGCTGGAAACAGGGGAAAAAAAAGAGTTAATCTGACTGCCGGCTTACGTGTGGGCAAGTGCCCTGCTCTCGTGGGACCCTGTCCTGACCGTGCAGAGGGGCAGCCTCACGTGGACGTGAGAAAGGCTGCCCAGGCGGGTCCCTTTGGCAGATCGCTGGGCTGCGGTCTGCCAAAATAATTGTAACGAAGGGGACGGGTGCAGATCAGGGCTAGGGTACGGGCCTCTGTTCTTGCCGTGAATTCAGAGCACACAAACATGGTGAAAGGGATTTTTGGCTAACAACATACTTCTCCATGCCCCTTCCAGTCTACTCCCTAGCCATCCAGATCAAAGGGTCTCAGTACAATATTTGCCTTCAGCAGAAGAGCACCCGAGCAATATTTTTTAGGGACATTCACATCTATTTAGTGGGATCAATAAATGCGTAAATTGAGTTATTGGCCTAAACCCCTTCACAGATACAGACACAGAGTCAAATTCTTCTGAGTGCTGTTCCAGTGCAAATGTAGGAAAACTCCCATAAAATTTGCAACAATAATCCAGATTTATTCTCTTTGCCCCTTTCTTTAAGAATACATGGTATGGAATTTGAGTCTGGCTGTGGACTTGAATTCTATGAATCCCTTCCTACTTGCTGTACCTTAAGCCTAGAGGAATTTGGGAAGCAGAACCATCTGAACTGCAACATCTATATATGCTTCTAAATGATCAGAGCCAATACAAAGATGAGGACATTTTACCTGTTGTCATATTTGTATTGTTAGATTGTCAAATTTAACTGTGAAACAGTGTGAGACACAAGCGGCAGGGAGTACTCGGCGATGGAACATGATATGGAAGATGCAAAAGAATCACTTGTGGGGTGACCCAGAGAGGTGCAACTGCTCTTCACTGCACGAAAGCCGGTGGCACACTGGAGGCTCCAGTCCTGGCCCTACCACAGGGAGTCAGGATGACTGTGGGCAACTCACTTTCCTTCTGTGCGTCCATCTCTGATCTGGGGTCATTCCCTGTATGTGTCTTGACTGGACTTTGTAAAGATAAATTAATTAATGCTTGGGAGATGCTCCAGAATGACATGAACAGTAGCTTTCAAAATGCCCTGCAATGAGGGAATATCTTTCCCATGCAAAAGAAGTAAAATAAAACAATGAGGCACGGTTTCATTGACTTCCGCGGGGAATATGCTGTGTTGACAGTTTCCTGTGACAATAATTTCCAACTGGAGATGTCTATATTGGAAAATAAAGGCAGTGAATGTCAGCTCCTTCAACCTGACATTTATATCTCTACCAAAATACAAATGCTGCTGTTCTGCTGCTCTTCTGCTCTATGTATTCTGCTCTATGTATTTGTCACAGATGTAAACAACAGGACAAGCAGAGGGCTTTGAAGCATGGGGCCTAGTGTTTTATAGGCAGTAGGTACTTGGCAGGTTTATGCTGTGGAATGTTACCTGTTAGGCTGCAAGCTTCATGAATTGTCAAAACTATCAAGGAACCAAGAGCTTATTTGGAGGCCTCTGTGCAGTTCAAGTATCAGCTATCATACGTAGGTATGTTCACACACACATGCGTATATGAATTCAAAAGCAAACCCAAACCCTGTAGTTTACTCGTTGGCTGGAAACCTGTTGCTTTTGTTCTCAGAAAGGTTCATTTGAACTATAATATTCTATAGCAAGCTTATAAATGAACTTGTGAAAATTTCCTTTACTGATTAATGTTATTAATTAAATGTTCTGGATGCTCTGTATAATCACTTAAGATCAGACCTTACACCTATCCAGACTCAGAGCATGAAAGGTTTTTAGGAACCCATTTCCATATGTCCCAAAGGAATCGGCCCGGCGAGCCTCTGGGCCTGAAGTACATGTCCCTAACTTCAAGTTTCGGCGAGCACCCATAGCTGGGCACATGATCTCACATCCCCAGGGCTCATGCTTTTTGGATCAGGGACATTCGCTCACCAAAGTTGCTTAGCAAGCTTTACTTGACAAGTGTGCGGCAAGAAGCGCCACTCCTCCTTGTCTCTCAAAGCATGGATGAAGTCCGTATTTTGAAGCAGAGTGCAATCGCACTTTTCTGAAGCCTCCCAGAAGGACATGCTCCCCAGCACAGTGCCTGCAGAGCACGGGCACTCCTACGCAGAAAAGCAGCAGCTCTGCTCTGAGTTCTCTTCATGTATGGATTTACTTGTTTGGGACATGAAGACAAAGGTACACCTGGAAGGCCATTGCCTCCATAGCAGCAGGTTGAAATCATCCACAACACGGCAGCAGTCTCTATTCCATACTGGCAGGGGTGGGAGGTGAAAGAAACTACTGCAGAAATCACACGCACACACGCACATATCGTGTATATGCACCTCACAAGAAGGAATAAAAGCACATCATCTGAGTTTGCTTAGGTTTAGCGAAGGTCAGAGATTTTCTCACCTAGGTGAGCTGTCATCTGGCTCGGGGCTATTCTCTTTTCTCTTGCATCCTTTGCTGGAACAGCAGGAGTGCTTTGCTGGCGTGAAAGACTAAACTGTCCTCAGGCTGTAAAGGACTTGAGTCACAAACCACTTCACTCCTCTCCCCTCTCCTCCTTATTTCATATTAATTCAGGACTATTCAAAATTGTTCTAATATTCCCTCACCTGTTGGCTATGAAAAACTGCTGCAGGATGAGGGAGGTAACAAAACATACAGGATTTGTTCTGATCAAAGTAATTCTGAACTGATGTAGTCAAAACTTCTACTTTTAAATACTGAGTTTCATTTGCAAGAACTTAAATTGATTAAATAATCATCTAAGAACAACTGCATCATTAAGAGGCAACAGCAACATCTAAGTAAGTGAATGCAAAATGAGGATTAGAAAATAATCACATATTTAAAAAGCACAGCAATACTTGAGTGAATGGGCAGCTTCAGGGTCAGGAATAAACTCCTGTCGTTACAGCCCTTATCTGTACACTGAGCAACAGGGAGTTCTGCATGTCCTGCAGTCCAAAGCAATGCCGAGCTTCCTGACTTCTTAAAGGGACATTTAAATCAAAAACATGATTATTACTTTTGAACACAAGCTGCCTCTTTAAGTTTTTCCCCCTTTATTAAAAACTTGGCCCTTTCATTTTTAATTTTTTTTTTAGTTCTTTCATTTTTCATTGCTTAAACCTCCCATGCATCAACTATTTTGGCTTTTAATGAAGGGAATTTTTCTGCATCCAGCAAACAGTAAACCATGTCGCCTGGATACAGCAAAAGCTTAAATTCCACAGATTTCCACAAAGTCATACATTGTGTCGGGTGAAAGTGTGTTGGGCATTCTTTGATTTTTGTGCCCTGCATTAGCATTTGTAAGCACTTATAAAGGAGAGAGCAAAAGAAAGAGAGAAGAGAAAAAAGAGAAAGAAGGGAAAGAAAGAGAGAAAGAGAGAGGAAGAGAAAGAGAGAAAGAGAGAGAAAGAGAGAAAGAGAGAGAAAGAGAGAAGAGAGAGAGAGAGAGAGAGAAAGAAAGAAAGAAAGAAAGAGAGAAAGAAAGAAAGAAAGAAAGAAAGAAAGAAAGAAAGAAAGAAAGAAAGAGAAAGAAAGAAAGAAAGAGAAAGAAAGAAAGAAAGAAAGAAGAGAATGGCAAGCTGCTGCAATGAACGCAAAATATGACCTTTTCTTCTAAAAAGTTTGTGCTGTCCCTCCTGTTTAGCACCAGTGCCGGGCTCCCTCTCCCCTCAAGGCGCTGTGGAGCTGTTAAGCATCTAGGGGTGATAATTTGACTTTGGGCTAAGCCGGAGGGCTGCAGCAGGCAGCAGTAGGTGGTGATGTAATAGGTACCAACGCACATGGATATATAAATATCGTGGCGAGGGCTGAAGCGCTATGGCTGAGCCGCTGGCCAAGAAGCCGGGCACTTCAGACAAGGCTCCCGCCGCGGGGCTCAAGTTCAGGAGCCGCCGCT